AACAAAGTTTAATTTTGGACCCCAATTTGGACCAACTTGAAAACTGGGCCAAAAATCAAAAATCTAAATACATGTTTAGATTCAGCATATCAAAGAACCCCATATATTCAATTTTTGTTAAAATCAAACAAATTTTAATTTTGGACCCTTTGGACCTTAATGTAGACCAATTTGAAAACTGGATCCAAAATTAAAAATCTAAATACATCGTTAGATTCGGCATAACAAATAAATAAATGTGGTCAAAGATTTTACAAATCTAATGCGCCATACTGTGCAATTAAAGATTACTTCTTGAAATTTTTCAATATTTGAAATTTGAAAAAACAATAATATTTGAAGAATAATTCTTTTTAATTTCTGAAATCTGAAATGAGAAAAAATTGACCCCCCACAATTTCTTTTTATCCCCCCCCCCCCCCCTTTTTCCCCCAAAAAATTATTTCCCTCAAGATATGGTCATAATCTCAATTCAAATTTCCAATGGAGTTGGCAACCATAGTTACCCATTTAAATTTACCATAGTGCTAACTTAATCTATTTTATAATAGAATTAAAAATATAGTGTCAAATCTTTCATATGGATTTTTTTGTAAAAAAAAAAGATGCAACATTTGCAGATATTTTTACTGGTCTTCCTTTATAAATATGCATTTCTTTAAACATAATTTAAAAGCAGTGTAAGGGAAGTAACCAAAACGTTGTATTTGGATTACCTCCCTTACACTGTTTTAAATTATCTTAATTGTTCATTAACCATTACTTTATACATAATTTAAAAGCAGTGTAAGGGAGATAATTTCAATGATGTATTTGATTTATCTCCCTTACACTGCTTTAAATTATGTTTTGTACTAAAGTATTTGTCCATTAACCAGGACAACCTTGTTTTTCCCCCTTTTTTGCCCCTAATTCTTAAACGGTTTGAGCCATAACCCCTCAAAGCAAATCCTAACCATCCCTTTGTCGTATGGATACTTGTAGTATAATTTCAGAGAGATCCATACACCGTTCCACAGTTATTGTCTGGAAACTAGAAAATGCTTATTTTTGGCCCCTTTTTGGCCCCTAATTCCTTAACTGTTGGTACCATAACCCCCAAAATCAATCCCCACCTTCCTTTTGTTGTATTGAACCTTATGGTAAAATTTCATAGAGATCCATTCACTTAAACTAAAGTTAGAGTGCGAAAACTAATGCGTATTCGGACGACGACGCCGGATGACGACGACGACGCCAACGTCATACCAATATACGACCACAAAAATTTTTTTGCGGTCGTATAATAACAACAGACTACTAGCAGTTAACTGACATGCCAGCTCCAGACTTCAATTAAACTGATTGAAAGATTATGTCTTCATCATATGAATATCAGGCACAATCCTTCCCGTTAGGGGTTTAGTATCATATCATCATAACATATATGAGAAGAACATAACCCGTGTCATGCCAACAACTGGTTTTTAAATAATTGTGTTTAGTGCCGATGCAAAGACCCTATAAGTGAATCAATATTAACGCCAAAATATGCAATCTTTAATGACCTGACAACAGTATCGTAACTATATCCCTTCTTAATAAGTCTATTTAAAGGTTTTGTTAGCTTCAGAGGTGAATACTGACATTTTTGTGCTTTATAAAGAATATTTCCATAAAAAATTGGATGTGAAATACCTGAACGTATAAGAAGTCTGCATGTTGAGCTATATTTACGAATGATGTCCTTATACCGATGATAAAATTTAGTAAATGTTTTGACTAGTTTGTGATATTGAAAACCCTGGTGTAATAATTTTTCAGTAATACATAAATTTCTCTCGTTAAAATCTAAAACATTGTTACATACACGAGCGAATCGTACAAGTTGAGATACAATGTATATAAACACCGTCAGATGGTGACAAGGGAACGTCACCATCTAAAAATGGATAAATAACGATAGGAAATGAAAAATCATCTCTTTTATCATATATTTTAGTATTAAGCTTTCCATTAATGATATAGATATCAAGATCGAGGAAAGGGCAGTGGTCATTGTTAGTATTAGCTTTATTTAAAGTAAGTTCAACAGGATAAATTTCTTTAGTATACATACTGAAGTCGTCATTATTGAGAGCCAAAATATCATCCAAATATCTAAAAGTATTATTAAATTTGTGTATCAGATGTTGTTTCGATGGGTCTTTGCTGATTTTTGTCATAAATTGTAACTCATAGCAATACAAAAAAAGGTCCGCAATAAGTGGTGCACAGTTAGTCCCCATTGGAATTCCGATAACCTGACGATATACGGAATCTCCAAAGCGAACAAAAATGTTATCTAGTAAAAATTCAAGGGCATATATAGTATCAAAGCATGTCCAATTGACATAGTTTTTTTGTTTATTGCTACTAAAAAATGACCTAAAAGAGTTTGAACATATATATTCACATTCTGACTTTTTTAATGCCCATTTAATTAGGTGTGTGAATTTTTTCTTAATGAGAATGTGAGGCAACGTGGTATATAGGGTAGAAAAATCAAAACTTTGAACAGATTCAAAATCACCAATTTGACGAGTTCTTGACACTCCAAAAGTAATTAATTCCACTATTTTCGAAGGCCTTATTTGAACAATTTATTATCAGGTTTTTGATTGTACCAAGTGTACTAGTAAGAAGAATAGACAATTTAGTAGTGGAACAATGGCTTGAAGACGAAATAAATCTATATTTGTAAGGTGTTTTGTGTAGCTTCGGAAGCCAATACATAGTTGGGACTTTCATTGTATTTGGTTCTGCTTGTAAAGCGGTAGCTAAAAGTTTATGTTTGTTACAGATGTCGTTTTCTGAAAATGGAGTCAGTTGGAATGTTGGTGAATTGGTGATTTCTTTTTTCAGAACCTCAATGTAAAATTTACGTCAAACAATAATAATATTATTAGCAGCTTTATCGGCCGGGACAAAAACAAATTCCTTGGCTAGTTCTTTTAGTTTATGTTTGATACGAGAAATAGGTTTATTGTGGTTATTGTTAAGAGTAAAATGTTCTTTAAAATGTTGAATACGTATATCAACTATGTTCATTACTGAATTAAAAAAAGAGTCCAAAGATTTTTGGCCAGCTTTTTCCCGTTTTATCCATTTCAAACAGTAAGTATGGAGTGAGTCGTGGATGATATTACGACTCTCATTCCAATTAATAATTGACGGGGGACGATATTTAGGTCCTTTACTGAGGAATGATTTTAACTCTCGGTCTTGAACGATGTTAAGATCTCCTGTTATAACATGGGAAATGGGTCCATAAATGTATTCGGAATTACTGCAATTACATGAAGTAGGTGTATTTTCACTGATATTAACATCTTTACACAATTGGCTATAATTAAACACAAATTTCCGGGTAGATTTCTTGTAAATATAACAAATAAGAGGGAGCTCATGATCAGTATTATCAAAATATCCCGGAATTTGTTCTTTCACAGAATGGTCGTTAAAAATACCGGCAATATTTACAAAATCAAAACCTTTATTGACATACTTTATTTTAATAAACTGTTTTTTATGATCTTCAGGGCGATCAATTTTGGGAAACAGTTTAGAATAACAATATGCCATTATAATTTGAACGATTTCATACTTAGGACTGCTATATGAAATTGTGTTGCAATCCTCTAAAATTTTATTTAACTTATTAACCGGTAATGAACAGAGCTTTGTTAACAGATAATGTCTGCCGTTGTTTTTTGAAATAGAAATTAGGTCCGAAATATTGGTATGATTGGTCCGAAATTTTCTTTGATTGCGATTTTTTCTACGACCATGAGAACGGTTTTTACGAACAGTTTTAGAAACTATATCCAAAATGTTAACAGAATCGGTTCTTGATATACATTGTATTACCAATTCCCATGATATTATCATTAAGACCAAGAGGGTAGACTGTCTGTAATTTTTTAATCCAATTTAATTCAATTATTTTCTGTGATCGTACAAACTTTGAATGAGATTCACCAGGCTGCTTAATATTTCATGATGAGGGAAAATAACTTTTAATCAGCTGTACATCAAAGGGCTTTGAATACATTTCGGCTAGAAATTATAAATTGCTAAACAAACAAATACAATTAGTTGCCTTTGTCCACCCTTGCAATCGAAGTTTTAAATGAACATTTCAACCTAGAATGACCAAGCGAAGATTTTGACAATTCAAAACATTTTAAATGAATTTTTATCTTTTATTTTTTATATATATTCAAACAGTGATCCACGAATTCACATATCTGAAGCATTTTTTTTTTTTGAAACAGAGATCCACAATTTAAGTATCCAACGAAATGTCTATTTTTCTCTTTCTGAGAAAATAGTTTTAGATTAAATTAAATGACTAAATATAAATGTGCTTACAATGTAAAAGCCATAGACCTTATTGCTATTTTGGGAATCTGTGACACTTGTCTGTTGAACTATTAACGTCATATAACAGTTACTTTTCCTCATGGCGTCAGACATTTTCTATTGTGATGTCAAAATTTGACGGGAACCTTTGTGATGTCCAGTAAAAGCGGACAGATAGGGATAAGGTGTATACTCATTTGAATGCATGATTTGATGTATTCAGTTGTTAAACAGAGAATTGCAAGAGTCAAATCAACACGTCTCATTAAGGAAATCCCCAATAAATAAGTATAATTTGCAGGTATTGCTAAGATTTAGATACATGTACATTGTACATGTAAGTCAAAGATTCAAGGGGAGATAATTTGTTATAAGATAGTTAGTTTGAGATTATTTCATCCAAAGAGGTATATGGCCTTCAACTGCAGATTTATAAAACCTGATTAAAGCTTGAATATAATATTAATACATATTGTAAATATTTGTGAGTGATATAACCTCCCAATAGGGTGTGATATTGATAAAACAGCGAAACAATACATGGGCAAAACCTTTTTTGTCGAACCTTCTGTTACTAGTATTTTTTTTATTATAACCTGAATTTTTAAATTACACACCAGCTGAAATTCACGCCTTCTGTCGTATGCTTGCTGTATGCCAGAATCTTTCCACAATTCTATCATTGGTTCAATATATTTCTGAAATGTCATTTCATCAAGTTTGTTTGCGTTTTCACAGCCGAAAACAAAGGTGCCATGTTTAGCATTTTCTTCGTCTCCCCAAGGGATGCTTAGCTTTTCCCTTGCATCGATAAGAACTCTCAATCCCTTAACAATATTCCCATAAATCACACTTTTAAATTCTCGAACTGCCTCATCGTCAAATTCTTGTCCATGAATAATTTTCATTTGTTTTAAAAATGTACTTTTGCCACTCTCTCCAGCACCAAGAAGTAATATTTTGATTGTTCTTCTAAAAGTTATCTTTTCTTTGGCTAAGGCTTTATCGATCATTTTACTCCTATTTTTCTGCTGTTTGTCTGTATCGGTCATACAGCATGACATGATTATGTCAGCCATTGTGGGCTTTCACCCCGCCCATGACGTCAAATCAACAAACCAACTTCCGGTTAACTCGAATGATTATGCGCCCTCTAGCGACCAGTAGCAAGCAATTGATAGAGAGAGGAATGTAACGACTGGATTATTCAGGTTAAGTCGAGTTTTGGACTGGAATTTAAATTTCTATGTAGAGTAAAACTAGAACTGACTAGTACACAGTACAGTTTTTTGCTACTGGTTTATTTTTTTCCCTAACCTATGCCTATGGATGAGTACACAGACATTTGAATTGGAACCAGACTGTTTAAAAATGGCAGCCTCCATGTTCAGAGGACATGGAAAGTTATTACATCAAGTCTGCCGAAAACACAAGATTTTTTTGGATGCAAAACGACGAACCTCAACATCATACATTATTCTGTAAGACCTTTTGTCGCTGATGCACGTTTAAAACATATGAACTTCGGAAAGAAGATGCAAATATGATTTAGTTATGCAATAAAAAAAACCTTGGCTGGCACAGAGACTATTAACAAAAAGTACTATGACATAGTAGTCTCTGACTCCTCAGGCCAGCATCACAGGATATCAGGTCTATCCGTTCCAATACTTTAAAAAGATGTTCTGCTTCACAAGTTCGGGATCATTATCCATCAAATCATTAGACATTACAAATGAAATAAAATTTTATATTTTGGTATGTTTGATGGGCTTCTCATGATCAAAATGAATATCACCAGGAATACACCTGAATTACCGCTTCATGTATATGTCTGCATTACCATTAATCACTATTGGGATTCTGAGTCTGGATAGATTTTCTGGATTTGGCTGTCTGCTAATCACTTATCAAGCCCTATTAATAGAAGTAAGAATGGAAACGGGGAGTGTGTTATAGAGACAACAACACAGGCACTTGTCTCTAAAAATTTTTTTCCTTTAAATCTTAATATAACACAAGGTACTTACATGTAACTCACTAACTTCCGTTACATTTCGATTTTGCAGTTGTCTACCCCACTAACACTTGTGATGCCGTAAATCTACATTGATTTATCTTCAAAATGATGTATGACACGCCTACCTTTGTTGTCGGAATTATTAGTAGCAGGCCTCCCAAGTATGTCAACCGTAATTATTTCGTCTTCTCACAGCCCTTTGGAAATATTAATCTCGCAGTAAAAGGTTAATAATTGTCCCCTTGGTATCTTTCCCCTTTTTTATATATACATATCTCGGTTTCCGATTGGTCAAATCTTATTGCCAAAAATAAATTTTTCTTGGAGTTATCTCAATTTTATATGTAAAGTCCACAAAGAGTCTGAATGACATTGATGGAATAGGAAAATTTTGAGTCTAAAAATAGAAACTCATTAGAGATACCTCAAATAACACTTATTAGATTTTTTTTCACAGAAACTTTTACAAATTTACTATCTGGATGATAAGTTCTATTCAGAGAAAAACTAGCAGGTTTTTGGGAAATACTTTTTATAATTAATCATTCAATGCGAGATAAATATTTCCAAAGGGCTGTGAGAAGACAAAATAATTACGGTTGACATATTTGGAAGGACTTTTATGAATGATTCCTATAATAGAAATAGGCGTGTTATACACCATTGTGTAGATAATTCAATGTAGATTTACTGGATAACAAGTTTCAGTGGGATAGACAACCACAAAATCGTAATATAACAGAAGTTCACGACAGGGTGACATTTCTCAAAAATGTGAGTTAAGTATCTTGTGTTATATTAAGGTATATAGGGGAAAAAAATCAGAGACAAGTGTCTGTGGACAACAACCTGATCAAAGAGCTAAAAACAGCACAAGGCCACCAATGGGTCTTCAACGCAGCGAGAAAAACCCAGCACCCTGAGGCGGGTTTCAGCTGGACCCTTAACAATAATATATACTAGTTCAGTGAAATGGATGCCACACTAAACTCAGAAACATATAAACGTAAATTAAAAAAAACACAAGACTAACAAAGGCTATTCTGTAAATTTTTACAAACTTCTACTCCTTGAACTTGTGCCTTATGCTTACCATACTTACATCACCATTCCCTACACCCAAAGCAGGTAAGAATTGAATAGCAAAAATATCAGCCTTTCAGAATTGAATCAGGACAACTCAAACAAAAGACAACTCGAACCAATTTAAAGACAACTCAGACAAGTTTTTATGACTACTCGGACTACTTTTAAGTCAACTTGGATCAGTTTGAAAACTGGATGGGCCCATATACATGATACAAGGATGCTTTTAATTGGGTTCAAAAACAACTAGGACCAGTTTTAAAGACAACAGGGACCAAGTTTTAAGACAACTTGGACCAGTTTGAAATACTGGTCAGTCCCATTTAAAGACAATTCTTATCAAGAGAAATTCATTTGTGAGATCATCACAGATTCAACAAAACAAGTTGTTGGAGTAGAATGATTTCAATAGTGCATTTATGTCAAAAGTTCTGTTTATAAGAAATTTAGAAAAAAGAGCTTGCAAAAATATGAGCAGAATAGCAATTTTTTGCTTCTTCTCTTCTTGCTTAACAATAGGTCATTAAATTTCTGATTCTTTAGTGGATTGACTATGGCCTCAACCACTATGGATTTTACAAACCATCTATGGACCCGAGTGGAATTGTAGCGAACCATATAACTTATAATATGTAACCCAGTTCACAAAATTAACACATACATGTATGCATTTATTTCAAAATTTAATTCCTGATCATGAGTAAACTGTGTATTATCAGTATTCCCACTGTCTGTATCACTCTACTCAGCTCTTCATAAAATTGCATATCACGGCTTTGTGATGTCAAATATGTTAACACAGCCTAAAATGCTAAATAACTTTTGACTAGGACATATCACTGATGTCATAATCAATGAACCTACATGTACATTGATAAGTTTGACCCAAACTTATCAAGTCATCATCCGGTTTGCTATTGAAACAAAGAAAACACTTGTTTCTATCATGCAAACTACAGCAGGGTTTAAGAAAATCCGTTGTTCGACCTGTTAGTCAAATGCGTTTTGTTTAAATATACTTTTTCACTTTTTTGGTCTTTTGGAAAATGTTGTTTGTGCTGTATTTAGACCCCTCTACCAAGAAATTTGTTTTGCATGCACACGTATAAAAATTGCGGTTTTTATACGCCCGTCAAATTTTTGACGGGACGTATTATGTTATACAAATGTCCAGCGTCTGTCTGTCCGTCTGTCTGTCTGTCCGTCTGTCTGTCCGGCGTAAACATGTCGCACCATAACTTGAGAATGACTTATCCAAATTTCATGAAACTTAACATAGTTGTTTCTTATGATGGTCAAACGATCTGTATACTTTTTGGTGAAAATAAGATTAAAACTTTTTGAGTTACGGGACTTAGTAACTAAAACAGGTGTGTGTTTTTTTTCACATGTCGCGCCGTATCTCAAAAACAATTTATGATTATTGCTTAAAACTTTACACACTTCTTAGTTATATTAATCTTAAGATCTGTATACTTTTTGGTGATGATTCAAAATTTTATTTTTGAGTTATTGAGTATTTTGTTAAAAAGGGGGAGGGGTTTTTCATATGTCGTGCCGTATCTCAAAAACAGTTTATGATTATTACTTAAAACTTTACACACTTCTTAGTTATATTAACCTTAAGATCTGTATACTTTTTGGTTTTGATTCAAAATTTTATTTTTGAGTTATTGAGTATTTTGTAAAAAAAGGGGGAGGGGTTTTTCACATGTCGCGCCATATCTCAAAAATGATTTATGATTATTGCTTAAAATTTTACACACTTCTTAGTTATATTAATCTAAAGATCTGTATACTTTTTGGTTTTGATTCAAAATTTTATTTTTGAGATATTGATTTTTTTTTTTAAAGGGGTGTTTTCACATGTCGCGCCGTATCTCAAAAACGATTTATGATTATTGCTTAAAATTTTACACACTTTTTAGTTATATTAATCTAAAGATCTGTATACTTTTTGGTTTTGATTCAAAATTTTATTTTATAGATATTGAGTTTTTTGTATAAAAAAAAAGGGGGTTTTCAAATGTCACGCCTTATGTCAGAAACTATTTATGCTTATTGCATAAAAATTCACACACAAGACGACGGGCGTATCATGCGCTCATGGCGCAGCTGTTTATTATCCAACGCAATCATAGGTTTAAACGTTTTTTTCAATTTAGACTTATTTGTTTTCAATTTAGACTTATTTGTTTTCAATTTAGACTTATTTATATGTATATATATATTATATATATATATATACAATCTGAAAAAATCGATTATCCGATTTTCATCATATTTATATACAATGTATATATTATTGTTGTGAAATCTCGACAAAAAACTTCATATTGTGACTCGCAGCTGATATTTAACAATATCAATATGCAGGCAACCTGATAATCGGTACTTATCACACCACTGGTAAAACTATGATGATGTGATTGGTTTAACACTGTCATGTGGTGACCCCCTATGGATCTGTAGGGGTCAGTAAATTATATAGGGGTATCATGACGTCAAGTCTACTTTTATTATTATTGTATTTTATTGTTTATTTTATTCAAAACTTGGCAGAAAAAGCCCCCTGTGCAAAAATTTGTTATACGTGTCGACATGGGGGTCAGTAGCAAACCATATAACTTATTTGTGTTTTGCAATTTATGCATGGCATCATTAATTAAAAAAAACTTTTATTTTCAAGCAATGTTATTTGTCCCCCAATTATGGTATTAAAAGTATAACTCAAAACTAAAGTATGTGATAGATTACCTTAAAAAAACTCATTTTACCTAAATATTTTAAGACAGACATCCTCATGATCCTAGATCAAAAAAATTGTGAATAAATTTAAAAGAGAAAGATCTTTCATGAACACAAGATTCTCCAAATAACAAAACACATTCACAAATATGTTCAAAGAAAGAACATATATATGACAAATGACAACTTCTGATGACATTCCTGACCTGGGATAGTCCAGGGTTCTCACTTAAGATTTTTGAAGGCAAGTCCACGGACTCATCATTTTTGGCCATGCAGATGAAATTTTATTTCTGTATAATTTGTTATTTCAGTCTCCATAACAAAATAGAGCAAGGAAAGAACATAAAAGTTTAGATTATTTTTAAACTATTGATATAAAATGATGATATATGTGCTCATTTAAAATCTTAAAAATTTTAAAAAACTAATTTATAAATATCAATATGGATATCATTTTCCCTAAATTTTCAAAAGTTATGCCTATATATGATTTTCATACCAGAGGGAACTCACTTGGGGTCTACAGTAGTTAAATTCACAATACAATTTGATATACCAAATAGATTTTACTTCTACATTGACTTGATTAAAAGAAGGACATCTTTAGTGCATAGATGTGTAACA